AGCAGGCGACATCCCAGCCCCCGCATGGCTCCTGCCCCCACTCCTCCTTCAGATAACCAGAACTTTTAGGTTACTGGCATGCCCTAATCTCTGGGTATGCCGGATAACACAGGTTTTACTTCAAGAGTCATGTACTATAACCCAATCAACTCTTGTAACATGAACTGAACTCTGCTACTGCTCAGAATGCACAGGTATATTCCTGCATGTTCACTGTTTCCCCTCTCTCCAACTTTTAGGTTACTGGCATGCCCTAATCTCTGGGTATGCCGGATAACACAAGACCTTGTTATCAGCTAAAATTGATAAAGTAGTCACTTTTGTGTCTCCAGCATTTAACTACCAAGGAGATAAAGTTTATGCCATTACCTTATTTCTCAGCAGAGAAAATATATTAATAATTTTATCAGTTTTAAACTTAAATCAGGGCGTATTTAAAGGAGCTACTAAGTTGAAGAAAGCAGAAGTGAAGCAACAGTCTTCACAGACAAGTCATTCTTGCCAGTTTGCATTATTTTTTTACAAAATTTTAAGATGGCTAGATATCATTAGAATTTTTTAGAAAGTATGTGTCATTTTGAGATTAAGATCCTGGTCCTGCAATCTCCTTCTTGACATTTTCCTTGCTCAAAGTAGTAGTTTCATACTCACATGGCTGCCTCTAGATTGACATAATTTTCTGGACAAAAGTTTTCCGTTAAAAGCATTTTCGAAACAGAGTGTCTAGATTGGCACGGACCGCAAAAGCATTTTTTGCGGAAAAGCATCCATGCCAATCTAGACGCGCTTTTCCACAAAAAAGCCTTGATGGCCATTTTTGCGACCGGGGCTTTTTTGCGGAAAACAAATCTGAGCTGTCTACACTGGCCCTTTTGCGCGAATGGGAGCAGAACAGTATTTCCGCAAGAAGCACAGATTTCTTACAGTAGGAAATCAGTGCTTTTGCATAAATTCAAGCGGCCAGTGGAGACAGCTGGCAAGTTTTTCTGGAAAAGGGGCTGATTTTCCGGAAAAACTGGCCAGTCTAGACACAGCCACATGAGTTTTAGGAATATACCCTAAGACAGGGCTATTCAACTTTGGAAGCCCCGGGGCACAATGATACTCACAGCACATGCCAACGACTGCAATTTAAGCGTGGTTGCATATGCATGCAAATATATATGCAAACAAAAGCTTCTTTCACACTGATGGGCATGAATACAAAGATTAAGGCTTAAGCTGCAGGGCTGGACACAAACGTGGCCAGTGAGAGCCAGTCAGCACTTCTCAGGCTCTGCCCACAAGGCTAAGCAGCCAGCACTTTCCACAATGGCCCAATGCTCCTGGCACCTTCTCCCTGGGGATTAGAAACACCAACACTCTGGATTGGCCCAATGCTCCTGGCACCATCTCCCTGGGGATTAGAAACACCAACACTCTGGATGTTAAATATCAGTTAATTAAATAGTCAATTAACCTCATCAATTCTTATCGGTTAGTTGACTATTCTATAGTCCCTGGGGGCAGGGCTGGCAGCCAGTGTGCTCCAGCCCCAACTCCCAGGAAGACCCCTACCACCCAGAGATAGCAGTGCAGGGTGCCAGGCAGGAACTAGTTCACGAGGGGAGTCAGCACTGTCACCCTGCACTGCAGCAGCCCTTGCCTGGGGGTGGGATCTGAACTTTCAGACCCAGCGCAAACTGCAACTGAGCTGGGCTGCCTGCCCACCTGGCTCCTAATATACTTTAAATGCAGAGCTGCAGCGGGGGTAGGTCCCAGACCCGGTGCAAGCTGGGACTGAGTCATGCTGCTGGTCAGCCTGCTAAAAAAATTAGTGCGGGGATGGGGGTGGGAAATGTGTGTAGCCTATAGTATTAACTGGTAAGCTTTTGCTTATCGGTTAATCAACTCAACTATTACATTCCTACCCCGTACCTATTTGTTCCAGGCAGCCCGTCCACTTGCATTTTTCAAAGCTCACCCCACCTGGAAGACACCTCCCTGTTGTGGAGTGTGTACCCACGGGAGGTCATGTTCAAATGATCCCACCCATGAGCTGCATGCTGAGCCTCATGTAAACCCAAACTGCATTGTGGGCTGCAAACAAATGGGCTGTGGGCCTCACGTGGCCCATGGGCTGTGTGTTGTGTAGCCCTGCCTTAAGATTTCAGGAAAGCATCCCTCACCAGGAAAGCACTTAAACATGTCTTTAATTTGAAGGTAGTGGGATTCAACACACGATTCAAGATTTGAAGTCATTGGATTTAAGTACACACTAATGTCCTTTCATATATTAGGGTCTCAATTGTCCAGATGCTCACTATAAAAAAGCTATCAAGATTGTCAGGTTGAGGTGGCATATAACATATCAGACAAGGCAATTGTGACACGTTCACAACACAGTAATTTATCATCTACATTTTGGGGAAAGGCTGCACTTAACACCATAGTTACACTATGCTTTGCTGTAAAAACTTCCTTTCAGGGACCTAAAGATACTTCACAAATATTGAATCCTAACACCCCTATATTGTAGGGAAGCAGTATCTATTTTACTGATGAAATACCTAAGGCAAAAATGGTTAAGCGACTTGCACATGGTCACACAAGGAAGTTTGCCATAGACCCACAAACCAAGACGTCTGAAGTGTGCTCTGAAGCCCACTAGTAAGGCAAACAGCACTTGTTGGTCACCCACAGGGAAATGGATGGTCAAATAGAGAGGCGCCCCTTGTTTTTGGAGGAGGGATAGCTCAGTGGCTTGAGCACTGGCCTGCTAAACCCAGGGTTGTGAGTTCAATCCTTGCAGAAGCCATTTGGGGCAAAAATTTGTCAGGGATGGTACTTGGTCCTGCTGTGAAGGCAGTAGACTGGACACAATGACCTTTCCCTTCCAGTTCTAGGAGATAGGCAATCTCCATTAATTTAATTTTTTAAATAAAAGAAACAAATAGATGAGACTGAGAAAATTAAATTAAGAGCCAAAGGAGACAGAGTGATGAACTTCTTCCAGAATGAGCAAAATGTGTTGTAATACATACAGTTATAACTGTATCCAAGCTTTCCTGTTATTACTTTATTGTATCCTGTTACTACTTTATCATATAAGCAATTACTGTAATTGCTCTAGAGACATCATGTAATCATGAACCAGCAAGAAGCTGAGCCAGGAAAGAATCTCAGTATTGAGATGCGGGCCACACCATGGAAACGTTTGAGATTCCCTACTTTGGAATATGTCCTTTTACATCTCCACGTGATGCTAAAATTTCTTCCAAAATAAAAGAAAAGAAAAAGAAATCAGATATCAAAGAATTAGGGAATTCAGCATGCCAGTCAGTATACTAGTCAAACCAAAAACTACGTTTGAAGAATCAGGAATTGTAACTACAAAATAGGCAGAGCTAGAAGGGATGGAAAGAAAAAGTAATCCTCACATGGAGATGCACATTGTTTTCCCTCAGTGAAATGCTAATGTCCTGTATGACTGTGTAAGTACTGGTCAGTCTTGACAAAGTCTGGCTATACAAATGATTGCAATAAGAAATGGGAAAAGAGATTTTTTTCTTAAAATACCTCAGCTCTGCGCCTAGATTTTTCTGTTATATGGGAAAATACACTTAAAAATGAGAAACAATGTATGCCAACTTTAATTGAATCTATAAAATGGTTGCATTTAACTCTTTGCTCTATGGGCTATTAGAACATACTCATCTCTAGGGAACATACAAATCTCTAGGATTTGTATAGCATGTAATTGACTAGTCGTGTAACCGCATCAAGTTGTACCAGTTACATGACTTTGGATAGTCCCCAGGGAAGGAGCTGGTAGCCAGTGCACCCCAGGGAGCTCCCTGCTATCCTGCGCTGCTGACTCTCTATCAGGGTATGTCTACACTACCCCGCTAGTTCGAACTAGCGGGGTAGTGTAGACATACCCTGATAGAGAGTCAGCAGCGCAGGATAGCAGGGAGCTCCCTGGGGTGCACTGGCTACCAGCTCCTTCCCTGGGGACTATCCAAAGTCATGTAACTGGTACAACTTGATGCGGTTACACGACTAGTCAATTACATGCTATACAAATCCTAGAGATTTGTATGTTCCCTAGAGATGAGTATGTTCTAATAGCCCATAGAGCAAAGAGTTAAATGCAACCATTTTATAGATTCAATTAAAGTTGGCATACATTGTTTCTCATTTTTAAGTGTATTTTCCCATATAATAGAAAAATCTAGGCGCAGAGCTGAGGTATTTTAAGAAAAAAATCTCTTTTCCCATTTCTTATTGCAATCATTTGTATAGCCAGACTTTGTCAAGACTGACCAGTACTTACACAGAGACCTTGTCCACAAGGGAAGTCAGTTTAAAAACCAGCTCCACGGGAAGACTGGCTCCTGCTTCCTGCCTCTGTATTAGAGGCAGCAACATGGGTTGGCAGCAGCCCCTGTCCGTGAGGGGTCTGAGCTTCCCACAGAGAGAGGCTGTCCTGAAGAATTGTAGGTTATCAAATCCTGTTCCCTGCTCCAGAGTCAGGACTACAAGTATGTGTACAATAGAAATGTAAGTCAACCTACATTAGCTCGACTTACAGCCACTGCAGTAATTTACTGCATGTGCACACTGCCCTCCTTGGATTTCAGGTGGGTGTTCTCACATAGAGCACTTCCCCTAATGTAAGAAGGGCAGTGTGGGGACCCCAGTCTTTCAGCTCCACTGTCAGCTTTCTGCTTGAAACCTGGCTGCCCCATAGGCTCCCAGAGGGCTTCTCTTCCCTACTGGAATTGGGAAAAAACATCTTGCGCTTATTTTGCCTGTTCCCCACTAAGATCAGGTTCTTGGCCCCCTATGGTTCCCCACCAGGAGTCACTCAGCATAGTCAATTTCCTTGTTCAGGGCTGAGAAATTGACAGCCAATTGAAGAGACACTATCTACATAATAACTCGGTCAATCTTACTACACTGGAGTAAGTGTTATGCTTGTAGGGGAGGTGAAGTCACAGCAGTGTAATTGGGCACTAACATTGGTGGGAGGAAGGTTGTAGTGTATACACAGATATAATTAAGTCTGCATTAGTTACCTTATGTCAACCTAACCACGTAGCGTTGAACAGGTCTTACGTTTATCTAGACCACCCAGATGCATGTTTGCCTAATGGGTTCTTGGAACCCTCCAATTACCGATATTCCAAAACGTACCTAAGAAAAGCTTCCTGACTTCACAGGTAGCTAACATCTAACCTAAATTGTTAATGATGAACAATTTAAATGATGAACAATTTATGATCCTCCTTGATGCAGAACAGATGAAGGAAATTAAGAATATTGTAATTTTTTCAGTTGAATTGTTATAAACAAGCCCTAAACACATTTGCTACCCCAAGAGAGACACTAGATTTTTGAGATACCCATTACTGTATTAAGTACCAAACCAATATAGTATCTTAGTCCTATAAGACTATTTGCCATGAGAACCGCCTAAAATTAAGCAGATGCAGAGGAATTATTTTAGCAGGTTAGTTGCCTCAAAAGACTAAGTGGGTTCTCAGTGTAAGTTACAAGCAGAAGCAAAAAGAACAAGGAGTCCTGTGGCACCTTAGAGACTAACAGATTTAGTAGGGCATAAACTTTTGTGGGTACAACCTGTTTCAGAGATGAACTGGAGTGGAAGTTACAGAGTCAGGGGTACTTGATGCCCTTAATGTGCTACTGGACATTACACAAAGTTGGAGCAGATACAGTAAAGATTTTAATGATATGCTACATATTTTTTTCAGGAAACTTCAGTGTTTGACGGTTTCAACCATAAAGAAGAGTATGAAAAGTCACAAAAATTGGAGATCATTGTAAATTACAAACATAGGATTCCCAGATTCAAAGTTTAAGAGGATTGGGACTCAGAGGCATGCTTATGACACTAAATCTAGTCTGTATTCTTCATGGTCATGCCAAAAGGGGGTTACAATATACTTATGTGAGTGTGATTAGAGTTTGGATGAGATTTCAACAGACTTAGTTAAAAAGGCAATTTGTGCAGTATCTAATAGATTTACCCACATGAAATAATAAATATGGATGTTAAAAGCTGAAACAGCTACAACGGAAGTCAGATGGGACAAAACACCCTACAAGATGGTTTATTCTAAGCCTGGAAACAAGAATGCAATAACATACTTTTCTTGCCTACTTCTCACCATAAATTCTACATTTTAACCCTTTCAAGAAAGCAAGAATATAACACTGAGAAGGCATAACACTTCTAAACATTCTGAACATGTGAAATGCATATGAAGATTTCTTGTGATTTATAAACAACCTTACAGGCAACATGCGCTTACATTTTCAAGCTGGTGAAGTAGTTTAGGAAAGCTTTGGATATCTCTTCCAGAAATAGGGAAGAAGAAAATATATGCTAATAGGAAGGAGTCCACTCCTGCAGCTTTAATAAGAGATCAATCTAACAGTTAGAGAAAGTGACCCAGGGGATCATGTTTTGGTAACGCCTATATATAGTCTTTGACTTTGAAGAGCTGGGTTTGAAGAACTTACATAACCTACTAGACCAATACACCAAGGAAGAGCCTCAGATTACAATATTTGTTCAGAAGGTCAGAAATAGCTTTTGCACATTTTATGAGTAAAGCACAAAATATTTATCTAAAAATTCACTATAATCCAATTTCACAGAAATTGTACACAAGTGAGAGCCTGCATTTCTGAAGTTCTACTTTATTGATTTAGTTAAGGAATACGTGGTTGCTTATTCCTTAGGGTTCTTGAAGAAAAATAATTTAAGAGTGAAATGTACTTTTCCAGGTACAGCTGTGCTTATCTACAGCAGCAGAAAAGCTCTAGTGGCTTATGGCATAAAAGACCATTAAAATTTGTATTAAACTTCAGTTTCTTTGAACTATTAAAGTTCTAGACAACTTTTAATTCTGAAAATTATCCTCCTTTCCAGGAATGCAATTTTGTCAAGTATTCTATCCTCATAAAAGTCAGGTTATTTAATGTTTCCTCAAAAGTTTAACACACATAATGCTAAACACGCAAGTTGTTGTCCCTTATCCTACAAGTTCTCCTTTATGGGAGGACTTTTAAGACTATGTGGGATTCGTTGAAGGATTTGGATTTTACCAAGCAGTCACTCAGAATGTATTTGGTTTTACAAGGCTCTGATGAAGATTTAAACTTGGGTACAAGTTGCTATAAAACAGAAAGACAAGTGGTGTGAAATACAGCCACTCAACAGCTAGATGGGAAAAAAGGAAGATAGTTTATTTGGTTTCTAAAAGGAATTTCTAGAATCGTTTTTAGAAATGACACTGTCAATATCTCCATTCCTTGAAGAATGTCAGTGTGGACTGCCTTCTTAATAATACAGGGATTATACTTCTCAACAGGAGACTCCATCTCATGAGACAGAGGAGCAATGAGAAAATTCAGGGCAAAATTATAAGCATTAGAAAGATGTTTTAAAGAGAATTATATATTTTTGGTTAAACAATTAAAATAATTTACCTTTGCCATTTTGAGGTCACCCTTCCTTATATTCAATTCCAGGTGTCAGTTTTGTCCAGCTGTTACATTCTGACACCTGGACTGTGAGTATCTCTGGGACATGGACTATCATCTTTGCCTGTATAATAAGGACCCAATTCTTTGCTCAAGTTTCTAAGTGATACCATACCAAAAATAAATAATATACACCCACGCACTCTGGCATCTATTAATTACAGGTATTCAGGCCAAATCTGCCCCATAAAACTCTTACAGCCCAAAGGTATTCAGGCCAAATCTGCCCCATAAAACTGTCAACAAGGTAGTTTTTTGAATCAGTATTAATTATTCTTTAGTCACTTACCTTATTTGTAATTAGATTTAATGATTAAGGTATCTTTTTATATGCTGAAATTTTCCTGTTAGTGCAAAATGTTAGAAATCACAGACCATCCTGATTAAATTTAAATATCATTCCAAACACGTCAGCGCTGTGCAAATATGTGACTATATTTCTTGTATCATTCTATTGTACAACTTTTTTAAATTATTTAAATTTAAATGATCTAACAGCTCCAAATAGCCTCAAATCAAGTGAAAAACTGGCAGCAGCACAAGATTTAAAATTAAAACATGTTTGTAAATAAGCCAACAATCTACAGGGGAGCTTTGGAAATAACAGGTTTGATTCATCACTTCATTACTCTAGTTTTGATTTCAACTAAATTTTGTTGACACACAGCTGGATTAAACCAGTAACATTTCAAACACAAAAAGGGATCAAAATTAGTGTTTCTTCTCTTAAATATCTTTTTAGTGATAAATTTAGTGTGTGTCACAATCCCAGTTATTTTAATACCAAATTTAAGAAATTTTGCTGCGGTGTGCCTGCTGTTTAGTTTGAAAAAAAAATCAAAAATCCAATTACTGCAAGACTCTGCAATGAGTTCAGATTGCACGTGCTAAGCGCAGGCATGTTACCGTTTGGCAATTCAACTCTCTGAAAATTCTACCTACAAAGAGCATGTTCCAACCCAGGAGTGCAGATACTGAATGGGACTTCCTGAGCGCCACTGCTTCGCCTGGCTGCTGTGAAGTAGAGTGAGTGCTGCAGCTGAGAGCCAGGAGCCTGACTCTCCAGTATTCTCCATGTTCCCTCTGCTAGAGCCCAGGAATCATGGAGGATGACATGAGTCTGACTGCAGAAGAAATTAGAGCTGGACTGGGTGTAGGAGACTGAGCTGGGCTGTGATTCTGCTCAGCAGAGAAGGGAGGATAGTCAAAGGCCAATTACAGCTTCTTGATTCTTCACAGTAGATCTGCATATGGAGGCATCTCTGCCATTAGCAATATGGTTACAGTGTCTCCCCCAAGCTGAACGCCAGCTGAGTGCAGCTGGAGTATGGCACTGTGATGAAGTAAAGTGCTGGAGCATGACACTGTGCCTAATATCTACTCCTACAACTCTTCCATCATACTTCCTGTTCTAAGCCGAACAAGGTGGCAGGGCAGATGTTAGCTTAGGTCAGTGGTCCCCAACCTTTTGAGGTTGTCGGGCGCCAGGGGGCGTGGCCGTTTGCCCGCCGGGCACCAGGGGGCGGGGACACTAGTGCGCCCGGGGGCGGGCCCCCC